TTACTGCCAGCGATTACCTCAAGTGGTCTCGTAAAGCAATAGTAACTATGATAGTAACAATAACTTGTTAAAGTAACTTTCAGCAAACAACTTACTAAATTTTTGATTGTAAAAAATTCCTTACTTAACACTGAAATTTATTCGTATTAATGGGCCCCGAGACATTGTCCTGTCAATCCCTATGGAACCAACGCCGTTGCACATATGAATGGGTGAAAATCAGAACGGTGTAAGTGATATTTTATGAATTCTCAGAAATCTGTTTCTTTAAGTCAATTTCACTGTAAAGATGCGGTGCTTTGTTTAATCATTAAAACAGCGAAAATACATTGCTACTGAAATATAGCCTAAAATAAACATTTTTTCATAACAAATATTCTATTTATAGAAAAAAATTTGAGCGGTTTTTGAAAAAAAACTTTAAAAATTGCGTTTTTCGTTAATATGAAAACTATTCGTATTAATGAAAAATTGTACACGACTTTAGTTCAATAACTATTTTTAAAGGACAGACTTCTTTAAAGAAAAATCATTCAATATTATAGTTGCAAGAAAAAAAACTTTCGACAAATCGGGGGTTTCAACGAAAATGAGGCCTGTAACGTTCTTTTGTGTGCATTTTACACTATCTAACGACAAAATCTTATCCAAAAATTTCACGCCATTTTTGAGAAAATTGCGATCGACGCTTCGTGTAAAGTAACCCCCAAAAATGAAATATCCGCGTCATTCTCGCAGGGCCTCCAGTTTCTTTACGTCCATCGGGAAATATCTAGGTTGAAAAAATGCGCTAGCGACCACAAGTTCACGGACGTGCCAATTTTATTGTAATGTGCCAGTTGAATTTATAAGACTTTTTCTGTAAAAAACTAGCTTGTTGAATGTGATTTTTTTGTTTGTTAGAAATGCACTATTACAAGTCTTTCTCTTCTTACGAAGTAAAGGCGAGAAAAAAATGCAACCACGCGACACACATCTGAAACGGGACCACCGCTCAAGTGAACGTCAATTGATCGGCGACTCATATCGCAATCCCAGTGAACAGGACGGCCAGTGCAGAGACGCAACGTAGGATTGGTTAAAATCATGGAGGGTAAGAGGCAGTGCAGTTTTGCTGGAGGTCGTCGATGTTATGAATACTATATGTTGTTAGTTACTATGTGAGTGGTGTTGAAGTACTGCCAGACAGAGTTCCATCTCATAAGCTGCCATTCCAACGATTTCAACACAAAATAGCAAAATTGTGTCACGCATATTATGCAAATTGTGTACGTCATACTGTAGAAAAAGTTTCATTTTCTAAATCGGAAAACGCAATATATATATATATATAACATAAAATGTGTGTACCGCAAAATATTTGCAGTCCTGAGTCATTCTTTTGCCGTTTCGGCGTCAGAGGTGGTGGTCGGAGCAATTTTCGATTTTCGTCGCATCGGTATCTCGCCCAAACGCACTTTCCAGAGAGGTCATTTCGGAGTGCACTTTTCTGGGAGGTCATTTGCATACCCTGAAGTTGGTAAACTGTAGTCTCTGAAGAGAATGTCTACTGCGATTGTATCATGTATCACTCATTTTACTACGACGGGGGCGGGCACCGGAGATGGACTCGTGTTTCATTCTCATTTCCATTCCCGTGCACGCTCCCTCCGACTGCAATCAAGATTAATTTATGAAAGCGACCTCCAGTTGGTTTCGGGAACTCCTTGGTGTCAACGACGGGGAAATAGGAAATCTGCCGAAGTGTTTCCGATTGATGCCTGGCATTGGAGGCGCAGGAGAAACAGACCGCGAGCTAACAATTTCAACCAAAATTCTATCAAAATTCCAGAGAAGTGTAAATCGAATTGCCGTCGGGAACAAAAACCATTTTTGCTCACCCAGCCAGCTCACCTTCTAACAATGTTCTAAGGAAAGTTTTGTTTTCCAATTTCCTCGATTTGATCACTCGCGTGAAAAAATCGAAAATTAGGTACATGCTATGTAACCGTGGCAGAAACCAACTACTTTCCCAGCAGGAGACAAGTTCTAGGTCTTTTCAAACTCTCTTCATCTAGCATGGACGATACGCGCTCTGTTTCGACGCAGTGCTGTTATTCCATACCTAAATTCCATCCCCTGGGGCTACTGGTAGAGCGTATAGCAGACTTGATATTTTATCACGAATTTTTCATTTAAGCAGACTATACATTATATTTTTATTTGTTAATTTATTATGTACAAAGTTGCCACCAAGCCCTGAGAGCACTCAGGTGCGCCATCGCTCATCAATATGCTCGCCGACTCGCTCGACCAATCACCAACTTACAGATGCGATGTTTTGGAACAACAGAATGTTGACTGCGTTGGAACGAAGTGCGTCTCAGCAAAATGACAAAGATTTGTTCATCATATTATGCACAAAACACTGGTGTTCACATTTTACACCCGAAATAACTCATTCTGAATAATTCGAGTTTGGCGGCTACTTGTGGTCGGTCTGGACAATGTCATATTACCGAACAGGTTTACTAACACGCGACAGCAGAACAGACAACACGCGAACATCACTTTTCTATGATCACCGCTTTGCATATAGACTATTTTCTGTTGTGACTTCAGAAATTATCCCTGCTGCTAGGAATGCTTCCAAGAATCTTAATGTTACAGGGGTGGTTCTAACAGTAATTTAAGATAAATCCAACACATTTATAAATACAAATTATGTTAAGGCATAAATCATTCATCATATTGGAAGTATGAAGAAAATAGACAAATTACCAGAGATTACAAACAAAAATATCTTGCGATGCAAATGTAGATATTCTACTGCACCCTCTTATCAATTTTAGCCAGACCTGGTGGGTCCAATTTCCTTAGAAGACACCCCTCCCCCATATTGTCAATACTGCTTTATTAGATATTAGAGCTTATTATTAGATATCACAAACCCTTTTTTGACCCAGCAACACAACTAATATCAATAATCAAAAATGGAGGTTGTTTACATGAGAATTGTAGTAACTTTCAAGGAAAGATTTGTTCTTTTTTTACCTACAGTTACTATAAATATTTTTAATATTGATCACTGTGTAGACAAATAGTGGACAATTGGTTTTTCAGTATTTAATGTCCCCATTATCACTAATTTCTTTCAATATTCCAAGTTCCTCCGAGGTTACAATGATCCCAACTACAATTTTCAGATCAGACTTAAAATATCCAATACTTTGAGGAAAAATTTAAACAACCATTCAGTAGAGTAAAATACCAAACATCAGGAAGTGCATTCAAGAACAATAAATACATATGTTCCAACCAGTTAGCGTTAAAGGAAAAAGCTCATTCCTTTTTACAGAGAAGGTAGTGAACAGGTGACAAGTACACTAAGGTCAAACAGACCACACGATTTAAAAAAAATCAATACATCAAAGAGATTAAAAACAAAATCAAATAGCAACAGATAGATGCAACAATAGGATTTGAATACTAGCAGATCGTGCAAGAAACCTGCTTAACAATGTGACAATCCATAACTTTTTCAAACAAGGCAGAATAAGAAACCATTCCATATGTACACTTAATTACTTGTATTTGAATTTCAGATTTGGAGTCAATTTACAACTTATTTAGTTTACAAAGTTCTTAAGTATTTTATGATAATTCTTCTCCAAAATTATTTTTCAAATATGTGATCAGCATTAACATGAAATCTGAAAATATTTATCTGTTTAATTGTTTGTTTTTTGATCAAGAAACTTCGGTTCTTTATAGAAATTTTTGAAATGATAAATAACAGTATTTCGCAGACAAGTCGTCCAAATTACTACTGATGCTAAATGGTTACTACTGAAAAAAAACAACAAAAAGACTGCAGAAGTGCTTGGATGAAAGAATTAATGAAACATCACATCAAAATGGATTTCATCACAGAACAAGTACGCAAGCAAGCAAGCAAACAAGCAAGTAAGCAAGCAAGCAAATAGCATGCAGGATGTCTCCATTATTTAAAAGCCCACTTAAGAATTAGTTTCAAAGTAGAACAACCTGATATTTATTTTCAGAAGCTCCAACATGAAACATCGAACATTGACATTTTAACCCACAAGACCTACACCTTGCTTATAATACACCATTTAGGAACTAGCTGTACTTTAGTTCTAAAATATTGAATGTCACTAGTGCCCAGAATATAACTGAGATGTATAATTAATTATCTACTATACGAAGTGAATTTAATGCCGTCTGTACAATTAAATCATCAAAAAGAGAGCTTCACATTTTGAACAAGAATGCTAAGTGCACCAGTCTATCTAACTGATTTCCAAATAATTATAACTTAACATTTCGCTGAGAGTTATGAATGCTGTGAATACATCTTTTATATTATACAAATCAAAGAATCTCAAACCTATTTGATCTGTGGCATCCTCTTCAGAACAATAATTTTGAGAACTTCCCTTGATAGTTCTAATATTTTTAAAAGGAAACACACAAGACATGAGGAGAAAAGAGCATTCTCATTACTATTATGTAATCTCCCTTACCAATTTTATGTCTTGTACATCACAAAAAAGAAGAAACCAATGACAGCTTATGGTTCTTTATATTTAATTACCTCCTCTTTTGAAAATAATTACCATAATTATAATGATGGGAAATATTAATAATTTTCATTCTGTATTTTATTGTTTCTGCACAACCTTCAAGATCTTAGGACTCGAGATCCCCTGAAGCCTGTCAGAAGGGGATACCTCCTTTTAAAAAAATTTACTTGTCAGTGTCTCGAAACTTTTTGTTTTTAATTTTATGGCTTTAAAGGAACTAATTACCAGGTTAAAGATTCTACAATGACTGGGTACCATTCATTTATGTCCATCAAGGGGTGATTGAAATTCACAGAAAAGTCTTGCAATAAATATATTATTTTGCCCCAGTTACGAAATTTTGTGTTCATTAATCTCATCATATGTGTGCTTTTTTAAAGGCTTGTTATTTCCTGAAAGTGGCCATTTTTTTACCAAAAATGAAGATGATGAGAGAGAGAGCAGCGAGGAGAATAAGAGCCTCAGACGTGAGCCCAGACGGCTCAGGTGCTGGAACCCCCATGTTCTGCTGCTGCAGCAACTGTTGCTTCAGATCCTCACGATCTGCATCTGACAAGCCCTCCATGGTGTCCACCATACTCAACAGTTGCTCAATGGATGGGGGCTGGAAACCACCCTGAAGCCCATCCATGGGGGGAACCTCAGGATTTTCATCACTGAGACCCACCTCCACGCCTGCCTGCGGGCTGCCTTTTGCAGCTTCCTGGGCGCCTGACATCCTAAGGCTGCAGTCAGAATGTACAAATTTATCAAGTTCAGGCTGTCAAGTGTGTTTTGTATAACATATCAAATCTGACACAGGACATGATGTGGAATTAGATTCCAATAATGAAATAACAATGAAGACATTCTCAAATGGATCACAAGATGAGAGGAAATAAAGCATGTCAAGATCATATGTGTACATCATGCTTAAAGAATATATCATCTCCAGAAATGCATGCATCTTAATAATACTAATATAATTTTAAGTTCTCAATGTTATTAATATCATAAATACATTAAAAAATTCATCAATTTACCTCAAAAGTATGAAAGTCAAAAATAAGGACAGCATTTTAGACACTACAACCTGGCAAAGGCTAGCACATGTGGACTTCTGAGGTACTACAGTGCAAACAGTATTTGCTAGCCTAGCACCAGTCAGCAGTTACATTCTGCTGAGCACTTGAGAATGCTGTTGCCACATCTCTTAACTTCTGCTTATCTCACCCAGTACACACAAGGCCATAGATATACTTTACAAGGCAATACAAATTCATTTCAAAAATGATCAATCAAGTAAATTATTTTTAATGTTAGAATAAAAATGTTCACCCTACAATACATAACTAACAATAAATTACACCATAAATTAATCTACTTAAAGATGCATAAAACTGTATCTGATAGACAAATAACATCTTATTAATTATACTATGCAATATAGTATATGTATAAATATGTACTCATACAGCTTTCAACACTAAAATACTGAGACCTACCTATATAGTTTCAAACTTATCCAAATAATTTTTCAAAAATATCTCCAAGCTTCTACACTAAAATGTTAAATATTTATCAGATTTGACAATAGTCTTGTTGCAACAATATGATGTTCATTATAAACATTTTTAAATACCTCTCTTCCAGCACTAAATGAAGTGCTTGCTCACTTCCACATATGAGCAACATACAAAATATTATTTTAAAAATAGGAATTTATAATTCTGATAACCCTCACAAACTTGTAGAACAATGAAGAATCAATTGACAACCAGTAACATTGAATAATATTCAATATAACATTGCTTAGCCCCATAATATTCAATAAATCATACAATACCTTATAATCAAACATTACTTTGGTATTCCAAATTAGGGATAATTATTTGTACCAACGATAAAGGCAAAGAACAGAATTTTTCAAACGTAAACTAATTTTTAAGTTTGGCAATAAATCAAACTACATGAAATCACTATTCCTGCAAAAAAGATTAAGAAGAATTTACACACTAATTTTTTTTTTATTTTATTCATTAAAAATATATCAATGAACTTTGAAAAAAAATTAAGGTCGAATAAAGTCTAGGTCATTAGCGACCGCTATTGCATTTAACGGTATGGTAACTGAAGGTGACATGATGTGGTGATGATTGGGGGGCCGAAAGCAAATAAATAGGGGGCGGGGCTCGAACCCGCGATCCTTCTGTCCGAGATCGCTACGGCACTACTGCCTTCACAATCTCGGTCAGAGGACCGGCAATGAACTTTATTTTAACAAAGTTTTAAAGTTGTATAACAGTTTTAATACAATAACAATAATATTAATTTTTTATAACTACGAAAGAGAAAATTCGTAATTTTATACCAACAAATTAATGAAACAAAAAATGTGATAATTATACACAGGAATATCTGGAAATATCACTTTGACAATAAAGGGAAACAATATACAATCATCAATGCCAACTAACTCTTCTACTTCTTTATCTGATAGTGTATGTATAAAATTTAATTTTTTCTCCAAAGAAATAAAGAACAAACTCATTTTATCAATCTCCATTCACATTACTACACAACACATCAATGCTTGTAAGAAACCTGTTCCATAACATAAATAATTAATTTCACAGTGTGTGACCCAACTTACGAGACCCTTCTTACGAGAAGAGTGTATTCTTGGAGGTTCTTTGAGGATAAACTCACCAATCTCAAATAATACCTTTGTTAAAAAGAGTTTTTAGTTGTTACGAAGTTGTTTCTTTTCCACAGAGACTACATTAGTTTTGAAAAAAGAATGAAGATTTTCACAACTTTAAGTCCAAGCAAATAAAATGATAGAAACAAAAATATAAATCACACAGGAATGTTGATGAAAGGAAAATAATTTGAAGAAATACAAAACACGTTAGAACGTAAAATTAGTCACTTTGAACCTGTATTCGCATCATGTTCAGAAAAAAAAATCCGAAATAATGTCTGTTTTGCACTGCAAACAAACTAAAGTATGTTTTTTTCTGTGAACTGAATGTCTAAATTGCCAAATTAATATTTGAAGTGAGAATCTGAAATAAACTATTCATCAGCAATAACATCACTGTAAAACAAAAACAAAAAATCATTAACTGTACATCATTGTAATATCATCTTCATATTTAAAAAAAACAAAAAAACTAAGCTATATTTGATTTCTTATATAGTAAGCTTATTACACCTTTGATCTTCATTAAAACAAGAATTGTCGTATAATGTAAATTCGGAAGAGAAGCCATACAACAAATTTTACGAACCACATTACTCTGTCATCACTACAACTTAATTTTACTTCACAGAAACTTGCAACTTTTGGTTTAGAAGTACTGTGTTACACAAGTAAACAAATAGTTTCACTATCCTAGTCCTAAAATAAATAAATGAAATATATTCATATTATGTACATTTATATAAGTTATATGCAACAAAACACACTACCAATCAGTGAAAGACACCTCAAAACCGGTTCCACTTATTCCAGACATTATCCTGGACGAACTAACAAATAAAAATTGAACCATTTTTTGGATCTTCAAAATTGGCATATCAGATTAGGAAAGACAGCTATTTTGAACAGAGACACACTCCAATTTTATTTTGATACATTTACTTATATCATACATATGCATGTTACTTGAACATCCTGAAAAATTGAAGTAATTTCACACAGTTCTTAAATCCTAAATTATTAATAGCTTCTAATAAAGGAAAATAGGAATTAATAAATTTCATTGTGATTACAGTGAATTCTAAGATTTGTTTCTGAAAAAAACACAATAAAACTGAAAAACTTGTAATAAGATGAAATTACCATAAAATAGTATGAATCTTAAAAAACAAAAAAGAAAAAAAAGAACTTAGAAAATGTGGATAAAATAAACTTCTTTTGAAAACCAACCATACACACCAAATAATTGAAAATTTTTGAAAAGAGCACATGTTTAGTTTTATATTGAATGTTCCCAAAAAATTTAATTTTGAAAAGGTTTCTAAAAAAAGTGTAAGAGGATTTTCACAAGCTAGAATAGTGGACTAAAAAGCTTTGTGCACATGAAAAATAAAACATCAATTTTTCCTAGCATAGGTTTACTGTTTAGCATATTTGAGGATAGATTTAATGAAACTTTTCTTTAATAACGCTGACAAAATAACTAAAAACAAAGCTTGATGTTCCACTCAGCACGTTTCAGAACAGAAAACAAATTTGACTCCCAATTCTCAAGAGTTATGAATGTTAGCACTTCAAATAAATCGAAACTGTGCAAGAGTACATCATTTCTCATAAGACGATTTATGCTCTTATAACAAGCAATAATAATTTGAATGAAAGAAGTCTTAATATTCTGATAATTTTTATATGTTCATTCATTCTTGTCCACTTATTATTATTTAAAAGATAGAAACATTTAATAACATCAAGAAGTCCCTAATTACTTCATTCAATTACATATCTGAATGTTGAAAATTCAGATCTGCTGAAAACAAGGACAATGAAATAATAAATTTGCATTGTCTATTCATGAATTGTATGCATTGCAGAATTACATATAATATTAAATAGATTGTTTCCTGTTGCTTAACTTGGTTTTGGCCAAATGACAAATTAAATTGATCAAAGCAAATTAAATTGCTTTTTATACTCTACATATCGATTGTCAAAAATGAAACGTCGAAATTATGGCAGAATCTCTTGCAAATAACACAAGATAAAATGCATCTCTCTCAAGACCACATTACAATATAGTATTGTAAATTAAGTGTCAAACATATTTGAACTTTATATGATAAAAGAACATCTTTTTCTCGTAGGATTTTACTCTAAAGGAGAAATATTCAAGCACAATCAAGCAAAAGATACACTGTGTACTAAATATATTGACATGCCGACAATCAAAACATACCTGACAATCCCAGAATGATAATGCCCGGAATGATAAAAACAGAGTTGCTGAACCCATGCTCGATCGGTCCATCCGGCCCACCTGACAAATCCACCATTTTCACAGTTTTTAGATAAAGGAGGTTAACAACACGCCTTTATAAAACGCGTGCAAAACCTAGTTATGATTACACTTCCGAGTACGCAGCAGGATGCCGCTCCAGACACACCAGACACGCGAAGTATAACATGAAACGCTGTGTAAACGCTCTCCAGGTAAACATAAGCTGCAACCGATGGAACCTTTCAAAGCCTCGCACGAGATGTCACTTCGTTCAAATCATTAATATTTACACATGTATCATTGTATACATAGATAAATCGGTACGATAACATCTGATGGCTAGAGTGCGTTATGGTCGCTGGCTATATATACTACGCGCGATTGGCATTGGCAATGAAATATGATAAAGAATGACCGGATGTAGCGTGTTAAGCCAATTGGCTGATGGGCACACAAAGCAGTGGTGTGACTACGAATTTGGATGATATGTAGATTAATCCAGTTTTTGAATTGAACTTCATTGATTTATGGAAAAGTTCCCTCCATGAGTGGATATTTATCATCTTTTGACATTATTCCAAAAGGTAGCAATCAGGTAATCTTTGACAATTCAACTTCCCATTTCCTCTGTTCTGGATTCATAATACAAACCTCCCTAAAATGTGTTACATTTAAATATCTAAATACATTATACTTTATAGATGTCAAACTTTTCTCGTGTTTTCTGGTCTAACGGATCGCGAGAATCATCCCTTCAATCACAACACAAAATCAATTTATTCCCCATTTTAATAGTGCATCATTAATTGTTTATCTTTTTCAATAGCCTTTATGCTAATGACACTTTATGCTAATCACAGCCGATACGAACGCCTACCTGGTGTAGGTATTATTATTACCGACTCGGCGCTCAGTATTTCTTCCTCCAGAAAAATTATTTTACAATTTTTAAACTATTGGGACTACTCTCTAATGAACTGAACTACTATTGTTAGTAGATCCGTTGTGGAAGCAAACTTACTTTAGCATACAAGAAAGTCAGTGCTTTTAGATAGTAACAAATTTACTCAATTTACATTAAGTTTACAAATCCAATTACTGTTTAGTTCATTAACCCTAATTTCCTTAATATTCCTGCTAAAAATCACCACCATACATCTCTGCATTTCTCATAGTTAATATAAAATATGGGACATTCGTTTCTGTGCCACTATAACACACGTTCCAGGCTTTATTCCTTGCCCTGTTCGCAAACATTTTCTCCCGTTTGTTTTCAAATAACTTGCTGTTGATTTTCTTAATTTTTGAAGCACTGGTGCAACAACATATACAGTTTTGTATTATACGTAACAGATACGCAATATTTTAATATTAAAACACCTAACGTATTCTGCCATCTTGGAAAAATGCCAGCAAAAAGTGCGGGATATTCGAAATTTCATTTTTCAAAATTTTAATGAAATCTAGATTAAAGTCATATAATCATAAACACACTTTACTCTATTCGACCAAAAAAAAGTAAGACAACCTCCTTGGGGCACATCCCGGGTTCGTATTTAAAGCCCACGATCTTATACTAGGCATTTTTAAATACCGCAAACTCTTGCAGACACTTCACAGATTAATCCGCTTGTGCCATGTGTACTGGATTCCCCAAAAAATTGGAGAGTATTTGAAGCATATTTTTCCACAAAACCATGCATTAATTATACATTATACCTGAAATGTGAATATTAACATGCGAGATATGATATTAATTGAAGATTTAATCAAAATGTCATGATATAGGCCTAGTCCATTGTGCGCTACAAGTCGTTTAAGAAAAGTGCATGGATGAACTTAGTTCAGTTTTTGGCGATGAAGCTCCATCAAGGACCAGTGTTTATCGATGGTATGGTGAATTCAATCGTGGTCGAAGTACACTCCAAGACGAATTTCGCGAAGGTCGTCCAAAATCAGTTGTTGTTCCGAAAACCATTGATGCTGTGCGTGAACTGCTATTGCAAGATCGTCATGTGACCTGTGAGATTGAGACAACCTTTGGCATTAGTGGGACCAGCATACATTCAGTATTGCCTAAACATTTTACTGTCAAAAAAATTTGTTCGCGTTGGATCCCACACAATTGGTTCGAAACACGTCTATGACATCGTGACAGGTGATGAATTGTGGATTTACGCGTGTGAGCCCGAAAGTAAACAGCAGTCGACTGTGTGGGTGTTTCAAGATGAGCAAAATCCAACAAAAGTTGTTCGCGCACGAAGAACTTCCAAACAGATGGTCGCCTGTTTTTTTTTCGGAAAAACTGGACATGTCGCAACCGGACCACTAGAACAACGCAGAACAGTCAATTCTGAGTGGTACACAACGGTTTGTTTGCCAGCTGTCTTCCAAGAAATCAGGAAAACCAACCGCCGAAGACGGATCACTCTTCACCATGACAATGCGAGCTCTCACACATCGGCTCAAACAACTGCATTTTTGAACACCCAAAACATCGATTTGATGAGTCATCCGCCGCATAGTCTTGACTTGGCACCGTATGACTTCTTTTTATTCCGGTACGTAAAAAACAAACAGAGGTAAACGTTTTTCGACACCTGAAGAAGCGGTTGCTGCATTCAGAATGCATGTTTTGGAGATACCTCAATCAGAGTGGCAAAAGTGCTTCGACAATTGGTTCAAACGCATGCAAAAGTATAGATCTTCATGGGGAATAATTTGAAAAACAATAAAGTGATTTTCGATGATTAATATTTGTTTTTGTTCTCTAATCCTGAAATATAAAAGGCAACCCTCGTAATCAAGCAACATTATAAACAAGTTGCATACTATATTTTTTCGTATAACAGCCTTATACATTTATAAGAGAATCAAACTTCATTTTGAGAAACAACGTCCCTGTGACAACTCGGGTATTTGACATCGTGCGAGTAAACGGTGGTCGGCTGTTCCGTTTAGGCCGCTTTTTAGCTCTTCCTCACCCCGATTCTCTCGCTACGATTGGCTGAATGTGGGATGGCGCAATCATTCGTGACAAAAGATCTAAAACGTCATGATTTGTGCCGTAAAATGCCCGATTATGAACGATTTCTTGCAGCAGAATAGGTTATTTTATAATGATGAAATACAAAAAACTTCTTTATCCACCACCAGCTATATTTGATACAATTAATGTGAGAAGTCTTAGTTTTAAGACCATTTTAAAACAAAAACATAATTCTATATATTAAGCATAATTCTAATATTGCGCTAAATACAAAGAAAAAAATGAGTATAAAAAATAATGACGATGGAAAAATTTTGGTATTTTTTCGTTTTCACCGATTCTATAAGAAAATGTATAAAAATCGCATGCAGTTTTTTACTCGCAGACCTGTGTAATCGCGCGAGCCTGATAGATTGTTCGAAAAGGCGATCAAAACAATAATGCGAACCAGTCCTGCGATCACGTTGTCGCAGAGCGGAGCGCGCGAGGAAGGAGGGGATAGTGGAAGGGAGGTACGAGCTCGCTGATCGAACTTCACCCACTCGCTGAACTGACTACTTAGTGAATTTATTTCTCCCTGTGTAGAACTTCTTGACAGGGAAACTTTTTTACACAACGTTCTTGGGTAGTCGATAGGGGGCAGTTGCGCAACGGGTTTCACTTTGGCATATTGTGAACCGGGCATGTTTTGCCGTAAGCTATTAATGCGCGCGAGTCCACTGTGCTAATGACGTGTGCAACCATCAGGATGAAGCGCGGCTCGCATTTAGCGACACTTGTCGTACATATCCACCGGTCACGTGTGACGGTCGGAAGTTGGTCGGACAAGAGGCATCCGATATTACGTGGTAACCAGAAATCACGTTATCGGTCGGGCTACCATTTCTTCCAATGTTCGTGCCTGCCCGGTTCTGAGTGACCTGGGCGAGGAAATGCGGCATTTCCGCGCGGTGAACACGCGTTTCATCATCGCTGTTGAGACCCATCCTGAGGTCGCCTTTCACGCCACTCCGAACAGGAACCAGATTAGCGGAATGTGGAAAATGCAAAAGTGGTGTAGTGAATGGTACTCAGTGTTTACTATGCAGTTCTTGGTATCATTTGGCTGCCAACAACTTAAAAGGAACGATGCTCCTGACGGCTGGGTGTGTAAGATGTGCGGCGAGACCGGTATGAGAGCGAAACTGCAGGCTCAGGAAGAAGTGATTAGGAAGCTTGGAGAAGACCTCCGTGCTGTGGAAGAAAAACAAAGTTATGCAAGAAAAATGCGAGATGTCAGCGTGAATGTGAAAGTAGAACGAATGCTGCGATCGCAAAGCAAGGACACGATCGCAGTTACTCCGGCAAAGTGAAGGTGTTTGGAGACTATGTTGCGTCGAAGTGAGGGCGTGTGTCGTAGGACGGGAGACGATGTGTCTTTTTATCCCGAGTGTAACATGGAGCAGTAGTCAAACGTTGTGAAATGCGCGAAACCGGATGATAGCGTAAAAACAGCGCTAGTGCACGAGTAAAATTAGTTCAACTTCGATGACGACAAGAGAGGCAGAGGTGAGTTCACGTCGCCGTGAATGATACACAAGAAGTTTCACTGTCTTTAATATCGGCATAAATGGCGTGTTAAAAACTATGTACACTCTGAGCTGACGAGATCTGGATTATATAGTATTTATGTGGAATTTATTCACCTCGGCGTCACGAGCCGCGGAGCTGTGAGAAGTGAGGTGGGATAAAGGCCTGTAATGACCAAGGGTCGGGGATGGATCGGGGAGATAGGGCAAGATTCTAGGGCTGTATAATCTCCACTTTCTCATGCTGCAAACAGATAATAGCTTCGGTCTGCACTGACGGGCGCCTGGGACTCTTCTGACGACCGCTCCCCTAGCCTACGTGATTGCGTTGGCTGCGTACATAATTCACGTAGGCACAAATGTTCGAAGAAACGACCTTGTCTGCGACATAAACAGTGTGTATACTTAGGTAGTGATATGAAATGGAAGTATAAAAATGTTAAGTTGGTTTGCAGCGGCGTAGTCTGATGACGCGACTGCCTCAATTTCAAAACCAACATGAATCAGGATTTGTTTTGAGCTAGTGAGGAGGTCGATGCGATATTCGTCGACCCAAATTACTAGCTAAGCAGGGTTGACATCAGTCTTGACGGGTTCATCTAAATCCTCGCGGTGGTCGGAAACTGGGCGGTTGCATGACAGTCATCGAGTCTTGCGTGAGTCGTGACTAATTAGCGGCAAAATGATGTACATGACGGCAACTGTGATGGCGGCGATTATGGAGAGGGTGGCGACAAGGTCGGCGGCGGCGGCGGCGGCGGCGACGAAGGTGACGGTGACGGCGGAAACGGTGGCGACGGCGAGGGAGACGGCGGCGGTGGAGATGACGGTGAAGACGACGTCAACGGCAGAGATGACGACGGCGGCGGCGGTGCAGACGACGATG